TTTTTTTTTTTTTTTTTTTTTTTTTTTTTTAAACATTCCTTTCTTCGTTGTCGATATTATACGATGTGGGATCGAAATTCAGTATATAGTACATTTTTATTTGGAATAGAATTTCTTGTGCATCGAACGAACGATACAATGCAATTTCGTAACAAGGCTCATACGGTCATCCATTTGCCGCGCCAATAACAACAACAAACTAACAATTGCGACTTATGTCTACATATAATCGTCGCAGATAACTTTTTTGTGGATTCTTATTATTTTATTTAATTTTTTTCTTTTTTTCTTTTTTCTATCTTCGTATTTGATACAATTGTGCAGGATGTTTCCAATTTTTAAGAAAATTGCAGGAACAGTGATTCTCAAATTAATGGTAATTAATAGTGGATTTTTAAGCAAAGTATATTTCCAATCTTAATTCTTATTGGTTCAATTTTGAGTAATTATAGAAATAATGAAAGTGTTACAAGAAATTAATAAAAATATTGATTTTTTTTTCTTTTCAAATAATATAGAAAAAGTGTATATATATATATTTTTTGGCATGGTTGTTAAAGAGAAAAGATTGGCTCCTATATTTTAAATTATTTATTTTATTTTTAATTTTAATTTTAATTTTGATATGAAAAGAACCGCTGTGCAAAAATTGTATAATCTATAAATAAAAATGTAAAAGTTTGTTTAAAATATTACAAAGTTCTAGGCTAATATTAAACGCACCTTAAATGCGTTAATAATAGAGTTCAGTATTAAATTGATTTTACTTTATTTATATATTATAACATTTTTTTTAATTTTTATATTTAATTAATCGTTTAAATTGTTCATATTTTTATCTGAAAAAATGATATTTCGAATTATTATAATGTAGAATTTGCTGTTTTTCAAATATTTAGATTGCATATATTTTAATATATAATTCTATTTATAACTTTGAAAACGTTTACAAACTTCACATAGTATTAATATATTCATAAGACATCTTTAGAAGATCGATTCTAAAGACCAAAACAAACAAAAAAGTTAGTTAATTTAAATGAAAAATGAAAATACTCGGCTCTATTTCTATCATAAGAATATATTCATATCTTGCATACATTTTTTTTTTTCTATTTTCATATATAGATTGTGCTCCTGCAATTTGATAGGAAAATAGGAAACATCCTGTATATTATTAGATTGTCTCAAAAATTCTTTCCGTTATTTGCATATTTAAGAAATTATTGACATTATTTTTCATTTTGAGAACACTTGTATTTTTGTTAAGTATCTTTTCATAAAATTTTCATAAAATTATCATTTATATATTTCATAAAATCAATAATATTAGAAAATTATCGAGTTACAAGTTGAATAGATTATACATCTATTCTTTTATAATTATATTAAATAAAATGTACTTGATTATAAAAAAATTTATTCTTTAATACTAAAAATTTGACATGACACTATGATGATTAATGACGCGACACTAGCGCTACGTGATCACTAATGGTACTTAATATATTTATTCGTTCATCTATTTATGCATTACTTTAATCATTTATTATTTATTATTTTATTTTAATCATTTATTCTTTAAATATTTGAAATATTCTTCTATAAAACATAACATAAAACATATTTTTACTAATTATTGATATAATTATAAATCATGGTGAAAATTAATCAATCGATATAATTTTAACAGTCATCTTGATTATTTTAAATAAATCAAAGTTATTTTGGAAAAATAATAGATGAAATATTAATACCATCAATTCTATAAAATTTCACAAACGACAAAATATCATTGTATGATCTATCGATCATCGAAATCGCAAAAGTTCTAAAAAAATATAATAAATTCATATAGAAAAAAAAAAAAAATGAAAAGAATTTTTGAGACAGTGTAATATTCGATTCCTCCCAGAGAATATCAAATTATACACTTCAATGAAAAAAAAGTGAGGTTGGACGTACCTTCGAAATAACGAGAACAGAATTACAGATGTCGACACCATCTTGTTATAGATTTAGTTCGAAGTTCGTATTCTATCGGCAGAGTGGACAAATTAGCCTCGTGTCGACATTGACAAATGAAATTTGGCCATTTCCTCGCTACACCTAACTATACGTCTTGGATAAAATGGAATTGTAATAAAACTTTGCCTGCTTTTGAAAAACGATCCTTGATCTCTTCTTCTACTTCGAAGTTAAGCGATAGTTTTTCTTTTTCTTCTTCTTCTTCTTCTTCTGCTTCTTGCTTCTTGCCTCAATTTCAAACTTCTTCGAAAGACGCATCAAAACAGGCCACTCGTCTTTCTTAGAAAACAGTTTCTTCAGAGTGTCATTGTTGAGTTTTCAGTTACGAAGACTCTGTTGAGGGAATTCAACAGCTCCTCGTTTTCTCTGCGCACTGAAATCGATTAGAATATCACATTGTTAATTTATGCAATTTCTAAGTGGTGTTATTAATTTTATTTAATATTTACGTTTCATTTTGTAAATATTATTGTATGAAAATGCTGAGTGAAATCAGATATGTTATTATAATTTTGCTTAAATCAAAATATTATCTATCAGGAATACTTTTCTGCTTTTATTTTCAATTTTATGAAATTTTCTATTTTTTTATAGAAATATCATTGATAATAAATATATTGTAGAAAATTAAGTTATATTTTTAAAAAATTTGTAAAAAAACAAAAATAATTATATTTAAATTAAAATAATAATAAAATTATGTTTTTTTTTCTATATAAATTTTTTCTATATAAATTCTGATTTCACTTATATTAATAACTTATTAACGAAAAAGTTCTTTAATATTAAAATCAATTAGATATTCATTTATTCACAGAATCGATACTGTTATAATTTATTCTATTATTCCAATTTTTTCTTTATTAATTATGTAATTAAACTAATAACTATTCAAATACACATATTTTTTAAATAAATTTCATTTATTTAGATTATTTTTATTTAAGTAAATTGAGCGAACATAAAACTTATATATTTTTTTAAATATCACATTATTTAAGATTTATTATTTCAATATACTAATTTTTAGACTGTAGATTTTCATGTAGATATATATTTTTCCTATTATATATGTTTTTCTTATTATACATGAGTAATATAAATATAGAAGGTTCTATTACAAAAATAATAAAAATCATAAAATCCGTTTGATTAATCAATAATTAATCCAATTGATTAAATAAAAATCCAAGTTACTTCAAAAAAGTTCTTAAATCAATTTAGAATTTTTAATAAAATCGTAGTAAATAATATTTTTTCAGAAATAGAAATATTTATCTCGTAATTTACTTAAAACTCGATTAAACTCTATTAAAATTAAGAAAAATTTAAACTGTTATAACTCTGAAAATAGTAATTCCTGGTTAATAGATGAGAGATCATTAGAAGCGCGGAATCTTCCTCTTTAAAACTAATTTTTTTTTTTATCCCAATACAATTTCCGGTTCCTGAGATATCATCGTGTAAAGAAAAGAGTAATTTTTAATTCTTTGCTATTTCCATCTTTGTCACTTATTTGGACTTTTCGCTCGCGCTTCTTTATGACCTATTGCAATATAATACTTAAGAAATTTTATTAAAATTAGAAAAAATTTGAACCGCTATAACTCCGAAGATAGTGATTTCCGGTTAATGAATGAACGATTATTGGAAGCGCAGAATCTTCTTCTTTAAAACGCATTTTTTTTTATCTTGATACAATTTCCGGTTCCTGAGATATCGTCGTGTAAAGAAAAGAATAATTTTTAGTTTCTATTTACTACTTTCGTTCTTGTCACTTACTCGGATCTCTGATTCGCATCTAGTCGCCGACCAATGCTAAACAAATGACAGATACAATTCTTGGAAAAGCGTAGTACTCATTTTCAGAAAGAAATATAGGTCACTGGGTCGCGGTTCCATTCATAACTCCCGCAGTGCCTTAAGCGAGCCTGAGTCCTTGTATCTCGGCAACCGATCCAGATATCGGGATAAAACAAAAAGTGACTTCAATAGCACGATTTTCTTTATTTCTCGAATAAGTTTTTCCCATTTTTTTTATATAAAAAATTTCGAAGTTTCATTGCATGACTTTTGCAGTAGATTTTTATTATGATACGAAGCGTGGGATATGTTTTATATATTATGATAATTTCTGTATATATAGTTGAATATTTGAAGATATTTTTATTACATAAAAACCTACAGTCTATTGATCGGAATTTGAACTGGAGAATATAAAAATATACAAAAAAAAAAAATTAATTTTTTCTTAAGTATTCAAGTATTCTAAGTATTTTCTTAAGTATTCAAGTCCCCAACTTTTCAACTTCATTTATTAATTATCTCTAAATTATTATTTCGAATAAATTTCGTCCAAGTTTAATTCCAGTATCGAACACACATTATTTTCTAAAAATTTCATTTCTCTCAATATCACTCGTACGATAAGATATTTCAAAATGATAGTTTACGTCTGAGCTCGATGCTCAGCAAGCTCCTTGGAGCCCATAGGCGGGCTCAAAAACGTGCTGTGGGTTAATGTAACCACCACCACGAGTACGGAAGCCACCAGAAGGAAAATAAACGTTCCCACGATGATCATAGCGATCCTTCGATGGCGTCTCGCTTGCTCTAAAGTTCGTTCATCCTCCACGATCTTCTGCGCCTCTTTTACTACCGTTTTTAGAGGTTGGACAGAATCCTTTCTATGAGTGGAACTCGTCCTTCGTACTTTCGTTCTTCTAGTCGAGCTACCTCTTCTACCATTCCCTGAACATTTTTTTTTTCTTTTGAATGGTTATTATATTTAACCCTCTTTTGGGTCCTATTATAATACAAGTGACACGAACTTCATCGAATAGAATTCGTCGGTATCAGTGACTGACAATAATATAATTGATGATAAATATATAACAGATATATTTTATTTTATTTTAATATATATAATATGTTATATATATTGTGATTTTTTTTCATTATTCTTGCAGTTAATATTATTATTATTATTATTATTATCGGTGTTTTTGATGAAGTTTGTGTTGGTTCAATGAGACCCAATTTTTCGCTTTATTCATTTAATTTATCACATTTTATATTCTTACGTCATCTCAGAGATATATAATCATGTGTTTAATTGTTTAAAATGGTATAGATATGAATCGTTAACAAAATGTGTAATACAAAAATTAATATTGAAAAAACGATGTAAATAATCGAGAAATTCTATACGTTAATTTTTATTCTATTGATTAAATGTAATTCTATTTATGTAAAGGATTATATATGGAAAATGAATAAAAAATTATTTTGCGTTAAAACATTCGATTCTATATATCAATGTTTCCCAATATCAATATTTTTTGATACACGATTCTCTTTTAAAGAATAAAATGAAAATAGATAAGTAAATATATATATATATTAATTAAAATATTAAAAATTTATCATAACAAATACAAAAAAAATTAATCCGCCAAAATTTTAAATTACTTGTAAATTATAAGCGAAAAAATGATTAATTATAGTACGCAATAATTAATTTTTTCTTATTTTGTTTTTCGAAACAATGAAGCTCACCTCAAGCTTTTTAATTTTCAATTAACAAAGAAACAAACAAGTTGAATCGAGTAAACATCTAAAAATTTCGAATAAAGTGTACTTCAAGTATTATAACTTTATGTAAACATTTAAAATACTCTTATAAACGTTCATAGCTGATCTTCTTTCCATCCAATCCTTTATCTATAGTTCGAATAATAAATTATCACTGTAACATTATTCTTAACTTCACCTATTAAAATTTTGTCCAAAATTAATCACAATTTGAATATAAAATTAAAGAGAAAATCGTTCACTTGTTTCCCACCAATCGAATTTTTCACTCAAACAAATGGAAAAATAAAAAATTTCCTTCCACCCCACCCTATTACCCTTCCCAATCGGTTATACACCGAAAGACAAAATACCGCGATGCGTATTCCCATCGATCGGAAAAGTCCGATGACCCAATTGTCTCCTACCTAACGGTGTTGGCCTGCCGTTGCCGCAGCTGTTTGTCCTCAAGCGGTTCGATTGAACGCTGGAACGACGGCGTTGATCGACCACCGAATTGCTTCTGCTCTGTTTCGAGATTTTTGCGCGGCGCGGTGCCTCGTCGCGTATGTAAGATGGACAGAGACGATTGCCCGTGTGGAACTCGTTCGCGAACTCGATGCACTCGAGGTAAAAAGAGGCGCGTTCTTGGCCGTCCCTTGGGCACAGTACGTAGCAATTGTCGATCGATCGGTGGTAATTTAGGGGTCGAGGAGGGATCTCGAACGGGGTGTCGTCGTCGTGAGGGATTGTTGTACGATCGAACGATGCACGATTTTCCTCCATCTCTTGGTCCCGTGTTCTATTGTCACCGTTGTTCGACATATCGATCGATTTTTTTTTTTTAGTTGGTTTTTCTTCAACTATCTGTTGATTTTAATTTTTAAATTTTATTGGATCGAGGATTTTTTTTGGAATTTTTGTTAATTTCTGCAAGGGGGGAAAGGAATATATATATATTCGAACACTTTTTTATTTATTGATCAAATTAATTTCTTAACGAAACTTTATAAACAAAGAATTATGTGGAGCAATTTTTTTTTCATCGAGAATTTTAAAGGGATGAAATTAATAATTCAAAGTTTCTTTTTCTTTAAATACAACGTTATAATAAGTCGAATAAAATTAAATTAAAAAGAAGATACTTTATCGGCTTGCTGTTAAAAAAAAGAATTGAAAAAAATGTTGATAATTTAGAGGGTTGATTTTATCTGGTTGAAAGAGATTTCTCATCAAAAAAATTGTAAAAATCTATATGTAATGTATTATGTTCTATGTACATACAAATATGCATTAATTTGGAATAGTTTTAGAATTTTTGAGTTAGATGAATTTCTCTGTAAAATGTAATTGAAAGATGAAATGTAATGAAAGATGAAGATGAAAGAAATTGAATAAGAAATCTTCTGATCAATTTTCTTCGTGAATTCATCACGTAATTGATAGTTATTCATAAATAAAAATATATTCCAAGTGTAATCCATTATACACCTAATTTTAAATCTCTCTTTATGCAATAAAATTCTATTGTCTGTAAAATAATATTGCAATTTTAAAAGTGGTTCTTTATTTTATCATATATTTTTTTCTATCGTAAAAGAAATTATATAGAATTTTCTTAATTACTTGATAATAAATTTGTTATTATTGCTTGTCTCTTAAAATTACTATGAATTGTTTTGTTTCCATGAAATTCTTTGTATCTGTTAGTCGTTGAAAGAAACAGCGAATTGGAGAAACAGTATTGGAGTGAAAAATACGAGCTTCATACCATCAACATTAATCAATACAATGGGTGAT